GCTCCCAGGCCCCCAATCTCCCAGGCCCCCAGCCTAACAAGCTCCCAGGCCCCCAAGCTCCCAGGCTCCCAGGCCCCCCAGGCTCCCAGGCCCTCAGGCTCCCACACCCCCAGGCTCTCATGCTCCAAGTAACACAAGCTCCCAACGAAAACAAATGGACTTCTCATTTTTGAATGTATAGCCTGGTTAAGTTCGACCCTTCATGGTTGACTGGAAAGTGCATGGCACTCCCTTAGAGGGTCTTTCCATTGGCTGGTCGTAAATTTTCGTAGATTCTCCTTAGGGCCGGCCGGGCCCGCCGCACCTCCTTTTTGGGGATTTCTAGCACCAACTGATAATTTATATGTAAAGGAATGTGTGTATGTAATTTTGGCAGCGCGAAGTGCCCCATGCGAGAAGTTGCCGGACGGCCAATGGAAAGGGAGATTTCCGTAACTTTTCCATCGCACTCGCTAAGAAATACTTAGAGGGTCTTTCCATTGGCCAGCGGCTGGGAAAGTTCCTTAAGTTCTATGGAGAACTTAAGAAAGTTCCTTAAGTTCTATGGAGAACTTAAGAAATTTCCTTAATTTCACTTGCCATTGGGCCCACTTTACACAACTTTTATCAGACGTACGGATTGTAAGAAATTGCTCACTTTTAAGCTACGTTAGCCCTCGAGCACATTATTACTATTGCCCAGCACGTTTTCGCTCGCATTCCTTGACTCCCCTAGACAATGTCCCCATGCGCACCGTCGGCAAGCGCGCAGAGTTGTGCTGGGACGCGACCTGCGACATTTGCGAATGATGTAACTCGTGATGATAGTCCGGGAAAGCGGGGTGGTGACCCGACTCGAGATTGACAAGGCCACCCTGCACTTGAAGCTATCTCAAGCGAGCCTCGTCATTCATATGAGTTCCAAGGTACTCAGCAGGAGTTCCTTGGAAGGACATTGACGAGGAAATAGCACTCGCCGATTTTGCGTAGCAGGCGTCTGTCGCTTCCGAGCGCCGCGACTGCACTGGTCAACGCACCAAATATTTGGCTATTCAGCTCACACAAATGTGAAGAGTATATGCGAGGTCGACAATTTAATACATGGTCGGGAGCATGTACTAGCTAAGTATTTCTTAGCGAGTGTAATGGAAAAGTTACGGAAATCTCCCTTTCTGTAACGCCGCTAAGGCGGCCCTTGGCTCACCGGGCCAACGGTATCGTACCAACGGTACATCCAAGAACTATTCATAATCTTCCAATACCAAACGGTATTTATCAATACCACCTTTTTATCGTTGGATAATTTCCTTTCGCAACTGCTTGCCAACTGCAAGCTTTGTTACAACTTTGGTATCTTAGACCAACCGGTCAAAAGACCTCGGAGTCGAGTACTCCAACGCTTCCGCACCTACATCTCAGTTTCTTCAAACATTTTCTATTTAGCCCTCATGGCCAGTCCCAGGAACCCTCAACGCACCCAGTCGGCGGAGGCCGACCATGAGCGCTACCAGCTGCGCCAGGTGAGCCCGTCAAAAGCGCAAAAACTGGTACAAAAGGTCCAGGACATGTACGAAAAGTACGTGAGACGCGCCCAGCGTAGGGGCATAACACCGCCGTCGCGCATGTTTGACAAAGTCAGACAATTCTGCGAAGAGCAAGACTATCGCTCCGCACTAGGCTTCCTAATGGAAGCTAACGAGGAACTCTCTTACGTGCAGAAAAGCCGCGAAATGAGGGAACGCCTAGCCAATGCGGCGCAGGACGCCGACAACGACCCAACAGGGCCGGGGCCATCGCGCGCACGCACTGCGCAGCCAACGGCTGCCGCAACGGGGCCGACCAGGGTAACGCTGCCCACGGCCGCGCTCTAGCCGCAACGCGGCACACGGCAGGGTGAGTTGCGTGAAGAGCGTGAACGTAACGACACCACTGTGGCTGACCTCGTCCCGCCTGAGG